GGAGGCAGAGGCAGCAGCGCAGGCGCATTGTCGTTCTCGTCCAGCACGAACACCTGCAGCGTCACGTTGCTGCCCAGAGGAGGCACGCCCGCGTCGCGCGCGCTCACCTGGAACTGCAGCAGCTCCAGCTCCTCGTGGTCCAGAGGCTGCAGCGCGTACACCTGGCCGCTCTCCGCGTGCACCGACACGTAGCTCGACAGCGCGCGCTCGCCCACCCGCCGCTCCACCAGCGAGTAGGACACCAGCGCGTTCTCCTGCGCGTCCAAGTCCCGCGCCGACACCGTGAAGATGTGGCAGCCGGGCGGGTTGTTCTCCTTCACGAACACCGTGTACTCGGGCTGCGCGAACAGCGGCGCGTTGTCGTTCACGTCGGCCACCTCCACGGACAGGCTGGCGGTGGCCGACAGCGAAGGCGAGCCCCCGTCCTGAGCGGTCACTACTACAACGTAGTTCGCCAAGCTCTCGCGGTCCAGGGCGCTGTCCAGCACTAGTGAGTAGTAATTCTTGAAGGTAGACACCAGCTTGAAGGGAACATGGGGTGACAGGGTGCAGGATATCTGCCCGTTGTTACCAGAGTCGAGGTCAGACACGCTGATCAGGGCAATGATCGTGCCTAGTGGAGCATCTTCTAATACAGGTAACGATAATGATTTGATAACCAACTCAGGTACATTATCGTTTGTGTCCAAAATTTCCACTAGAACAGTGCAGTGATCTGCCATTGGGGGCGTTCCTTTATCTGTCGCTTCTACCTGGATTTCATATAACTTAGTTTCCTCGAAATCTAAGTTACCTTTTACACTGATGTATCCATTAACCGGGTCCAAGTGGAATTTTGACAGAGTATCTGCTGAGGTGTCTGTATTGAAAGAATACACAATGTCCTTATTTACTCCTTCATCCAAATCAGAGGCGTTAACAATCACTGCTAGGGTACCATTTGGTGCATTTTCGAATAATCTGACTGTATAGACCGACCTCTCAAACGCTGGGGCGTTGTCGTTTGCATCTAGAACGGTGATCATCAGTTGAGTAGTGCCAGTGAGCTCAGGTTTCCCACCATCAACCGCCATTATTAACAAGTGATGCTCAGGAGTATCCTCCCGATTTAAAAGTTTTTTCAACACGAGACCAAGGGATTTAATTTCCTTATCATTTCTTTTAACATCCAAGGTAAAATATTCATTGGAGCTAAGAACGTAGGTCAACAGCGAATTCGCTCCTATATCTGCATCTGATGCGCCCTCTAGCGGAATCCGAGAACCAGGTGGCCGGGATTCGTAAATAAACAATTTTTTTACAGCCACTGGGAACACCGGCGGGTTGTCGTTAATGTCCTTCACCTCCACCTCCACATGGAAAACCTGCAGCGGCCTCTCCACCACCACCTCCAGGTGGATGCTGCACTCCGCGCTCCGCCCGCACAGCTCCTCGCGGTCGATCCGAGAATTCACAAACAAAATGCCATTCTGCAGATTTACCTCCAGAAGGTCCCCGCGGCCTTTGGACGCCACCCGGAACAGGCGCGGCACCAGCTCCGCCAGCTCCAGCCCCAGGTCCTGCACGATGCGGCCCACGAAGGTGCCGTGCTTGGCCTCCTCCGGGACCGAGTAGTGGACCTGGCCGCTCCCAGCCTCCCAGATTGTGAGGAGCAAAAGCGAACACAGTAGTCTCCAGGCTCTTAGACCTTCTCTGCAGGAAAACACCATTGCAACCCTTTCCCAAATATCTGGTCTCTCTTGCCTGGATCCAAAATTTAAAAAGTAATTCGAGCTCCTTATTCTTCATTTCTTATAAAACCTTCCCATGCCGGTATTTCAGAAATGGCGAGGAAAAGTGACATCTGGGTACGTAATCCACACTGTGTATCTTTTGTGGTGAAAGACCTTGTGGTGGACAGCGACATCATGTGGCTAAATGTGTATTGTTTTAAATAAATACACTCTTTTCTTATACTTCGTTTGAACTTTCGCAAATTACTATTTTTATTGTAATTTCCTTCAGGCACTCCTCAAAGTCTTTATATTTTACCAGAATATATCCTTAGAACTTTTATTTTAATTTATTACTTTCAATTCTGCCAATCCATGACATAGAGTAACATATAATAAAATTAATTACTGTTGTAAAAGCAGTGGACATCTATTGGAAATAATTCCCATTTGACAAGCACTGTTCTATTTGTTTTAATGGAGTTATCTCATCAAATTTTCACAACAACCCTCTGAGATACATATTAATATGTTTCACATTTTACAAACAAGGAAGTGGAAGCACATACAGATTAAGTAACTTAAAAATGATATTAACTGGTGGTGTTTGGATGGGATCTAAATCAGATTGAAGAGCTATAATTTTAACCGATTGGCCTCTAAATCTACATTTTATTTAAAAATCAGGATTTTGATATTTATGACCATTAAAACATGAGACATTGAAAATATGTGTGCACATATATCCATATATACATACATATTTACTTCTATATTATTTTGTCAATTGCTAATTTACCAAATTTGTTCACTTTATTATTTATTTATTTATAGAATGTCTATAAGTCATTCTTGTGTCTTTTATCTAACAACTATATCCTTGTTAGATGACTTAACTGTTATTTATAAAAAGATATACATAAGCCAGAAGTCGGTCTTTTACAGTGTGGTTCTTTTGTAAATTTGCTTTTGTTTCATGACAACACTGTGTGATTTGGATATTTGTTACATTCACATCACACCAACTAAGACTATATTAGTTTTAATATTTCCACATCATTTATATGTTTGAATTTACCTATATATCTTAAAATGTTAGTAACATGAAATAACTGTGTATTTAATCATCTCCACTCTATAAATCTCTGGATTCCAGTTTCTTAAAATTGTCTTACTTGGAAGAACTGCTGATTTAACCAATCAGTAAAAAGAGAAAAGTAACTTTAGCACATGATTCACTACTCAGTATATGTAAGATGAGGCAATAAAATATTCCAAAGATCTCTGTGAATTCAGTGAGAGGCATGAGTTCTCTGAGCATTTGGAAGTTGAGCAAAGAAAGGGGAAAGGTTGAATTCACAGAGGTAAGAGAATGTCCAAATTTTTGTTTATGATCAGACCCTTTTTAAATGAAATCAAACATGTGAATTAAGTATTAGAAAAAAATTTTCATACTAGTTTTTTTCTGTGTACTTATTGAATGCAAGCCAGGATTGCAACTTACTCATATTTTATCATTCATATTTAGAACAGAATGATCAATTAATGTTTTAATGAATAAATAAGTAAATACTTTAAATTAACTTTGTTAAGTAATATAAGTAAACAGGTAAGTGACATTAATAATATTTGTTAATATCAAATTTACAAATTTCTAACTGACTATTGTACAAGGTCATGAAAAAGAAGTTAACACAATAATTATTTTGAAAAGCATGGGCCTAGGAAATAATTATAGAGATCAATATGCTAGTTCTTTGATAAATCTTGAAAAGTAGTGAGTTTTTAAATGAGAAACAAACTTAAAATTTTAAAACATCATGTACTTCATTAATTATTATATGATTAATTGACAACTTATTGTAATACCATACATTTTATGACATTTAAGAGTGTACTGATGCAACTTAAGGAAAATGTAAATAAGGAATAAGAAACACTAAAACTTACCTAGCAAAAAATAATGTGAGTCCTGGAGGTCTGGGTACACTTGGATATAGTTTTAAAAGTTTGCCATTTAACTACAGTAGAAATGTAGTGGCCAGACCTCCAGTAGGAAGAACTCCACCTGACCATTCATACATTCCACACACAAGTCTCAAGGTGGTGTGTAGCTTTGATATTCTAGGTGGAATAACTCCTCCCAAGAAAAAGCTTCCTCCTCATTTGTTCAAGCTACTTGTTTATCTCTGTAAATATATAAAGCCTTAGATTAACCTTTCTGATTCCCGGGAAACATATACTCTGAATTTTGAGGCTTATCAGTGATAAGGAACTAATAAATTTCCTGTAGAAACAGACTATCCTTAAATGGAATTCAAAATCTCCCCACCAAACTACTCAATTCCTGTAAAAGAAGATCCCAGATGGAAGTTGATATTCTGGCCTCTCTGTGAAGGAGCTATGACTAAGTTCACTTCGTGGAAATTATTTCTATGACTGATCAATATCCACATACATTTGGAGGGAAATCAGCAAATAACTAAGAACCAAGTAGTAGAACACTATTTTATTTCACCCCAAGACATCTTCCTTTAGTTGAAATTTTTAAAAATTTCATTTCCAAATGGATTAAAGATGAATTCAGTGAGAGGCATGAGTTCTCTGAGCATTTGGAATTTGAGCAAAGAAAGTCCATAGGAAGAGGTTGAATTTACAGAGGTAAGAGAATGTCCAAATTTTTGTTTATAGTCAGACCCTTTTTAAATGAAAGCAAACATGTGAATTAAGTACTAGAAAAAAATATTTCATACCAGCTTTTTTCTGTGTACTCAAGCCAGGATTGCAACTTACTCATATTTTATTATTCATATTTAGAACAGAATGAATTATTAATTAATGTTCAATGAATAAATAAACATTTTAAATTTACTTTGTCAAGTAATATAAGTAAACAGGTAAGTTACACTAATAAGTATTAATTAATTAATTAATATGGGGCCTCTTTTCTCAAAAAACTCTCTATTGTGCCTTAAAACTCCCAGGATTTTGCAAGTGTGAAATCTCTATCCCAAATAACAGTTTATTTTACTACTGAAAGTCATACCAAAGTGATGCCATGGGTAGTAATGACCTATGATAGATAATTTTGGAGGGCCTATCATTAAAAGACCCATTAAGGCTGTTTTCAAACACAAGGAAAAGAAAAACTAATTTAGGAACTGTTTATACAGGTAAAGTCAAATTAATTTTTGATTGAAAGAATAATGTAGGACATGTCCAGATATATAAGATAGTCTTATTCCAACATATTCTTACAGAATGAACGGATGCGTAATATCGGAAATACGTATTATATAATCATACTTATACTTTTCTTCCACCTGGGATTTTTAACTTGAGAACAAATATTTACAGGCAATACTAAGTTTTCACATTTTGCTGAAGTGTTTTTTAATCCTCAAAGGCCTTATTATTCATGGAGAGGTTCAATTATGTAAAAGCCAAAATGTAAAAATAACAAAACCATTGAGTAAATTATTCTCAATGCAAAAAAAAATCATCTCTAATCCATTCCATGTGCTGCACATTAAGATAATGATATAAAGACAGAGCTTTGAGTGGAAATAAAGAATAAATGAAATAGAACAATTTTAGAATTGACAGGAAAAAATTTAAAAACTCACCTTTCCTAAGTGTTCCGATTCTGAGGGTTGTTGTCCTGCTTCGGCGGAGCCAGGACCCTGAGGTAGGCTGGGGCTGAAGGCCATGAGGTCCGTCTTGGGCGGCCCCTCCCCAGAGCACACCCTCTGCCGCCTCTGTTGTGAGTACGACCAGCTGCCCACCGCGCTGGAGCACACCAGCACGGGCTTCCCCGGCCCGCACGCACCCTCCGTGGGCGACGCGGAGCACCGCAGAGCCGTGTACAGCAGCAGCGAGAGCACCAACAGGCTGGACACCGCACAGATGGCGATGATCAGGTACACGTTCACGTCCACCAGCGCCGCCTTCGCGCTCGCGGTGCCAGAGGACTCTCGCAACGAGGTCTTCGGCACCTGGCCGCTGTCCACCAGCGACAGCAGCACAGTGGCCGTGGCCATAAGCGCCGGCTCGCCATGGTCCTTCACCAGCACCAGCAGGCGCTGCCGCGGAGAGTCCGCCTCGTCCAGGGCGCGCGTCGTGCTGATCTCGCCCGTGTACAGCCCCACGCGGAACGG